TGGGACCTCATCTCTGTCACGCGTCTTTCGCTCTTTCCCCTCCAGCCACACAGGCTCCTTGCTGTTCCTCCAAACTGGTCATACTCCTACCTTAGGGCCTTTGTTCTGAGTATTTCCTTTGCCTCAGTTCTCTTCCCCCAGAGACCCACGAGGTCCCACTCTGCTTCTCTCAACCTTTTGCCCAGCTGTCATCTTCCCAAGAGGCCTGTCTTGACCTACGCAGTTTAAAACTCCAATTCACATTCCTACCCCTGAATAAAAGCGGGATTGCTGATTTCCCCTTTCCCTGCTCTCTCTTCTACGTACTACAGAAATTACTTACAACGTCTATGATCTGTCTTCCCCACACAAAATACGAGGTCCACAAGGGCAGGGATTTTTGTCAGTTTTGCACTGATGTATCCTAAAAACTTGGACTAGTACCTGGCACTTAACACACAGGCAGTCAGTAAATAACTGTTGAATGAATGAAGTTTAAAATAGCAAAAAGGAGGAAGCATGTCTAAAAACAGAGGGTTGGCTGATTAAAATCATGGTAATGGAATGCATTCTAGACTGATGTAGTCAAACCTCTTAATCTTTCTGCGTGATTCAACCCTTTGCAACCAGGTACTTTAAAAAGGGGAAAGACCCCTCTCTGCATTGGGGAATCTGAACAGAGAAGATGAAGCACCGGCAGCTTCCCTCTTGGGGTACCAGGATACCTTGAGAGTCCTGGTCTTCAGGAAAGGACTGACAGCTGCATTGTTTGGCCTGACATAAGAGAGCTCAATGAATATTTTTTGACTGAAGGAAAGAAGAGCTTATGCCTCTGTCCTGGCTGCACTGGGTTCCTGGCTCCTTTTTAGGTGGGGAATGATCTGTGAAGTGGAGTTTGTTCCCAACAGGTGATCTAAGTAGGGTAAAGGTCAGGTCAGCCACAGAGACCCTGGCCTGTGCGTGACAAGGGCTTACACGTTCCTCAGAGCTCTTCCATCTTCTGCTTTCACTGCTGTCTTCCCCACCCCGTCGGAGTAGAGCCATCTCTTCATTGTTTCGACACCTCGAGGCTGTCGCGTGAGAAGCAGCCACTTCTCTCTCAAGGTGCCTTAGGAAGACAGAAGCCAGGGGTGGGTCTGCGGGGGTAACCAATTATTATGGGCTCACTTTACCTAGTACGTTTGATAACTTAGAAATCACAAGTGATTCTCATCAGGTGTACATTTTTCTCTGATTTGAAATGCAGAAGAACAGTTTTAATATTTAACACTAAACTTCATATAACTTTTATTGCCTTTCATTTTTTTTCTAACAGGAAGTAGTGATAATATCATATACAAGTCCACTACAAAGGCAGACATCTGGTTTTCTTTCTTCTCTTTTAAGGGGGAAGATAACCGCAAACAGAATATTAACATGAAGAAATTCTCAATAGGATCTACCCCTCAACTATCTAAACCAATGGTTTTAAAACTTCATGGGGGTGGGAGGAAAACAAGTTTATGGCCCCAAGCCCGGAAATTCTGAGTTAGTAGATTTTAGGGAAAGCCAGAAATCTGTATGTTAAGAAGCATTCTAAGTGATTCTGGAGCAGGTGTTTCATAGACCCCACCGGCAAACACTGATATCACCTTGGACAGAATATAGAAAGAAGGATGAAAAGAACATACCTGACCCAGAACTTAAAGATGTGATCCACTGTATAATCAAGCAGTAAGTAATAAAGATTAAGCAGCGGTCACAAGAAACATCTTTAGTCATGACAAGGCAGTGAACCCCCTCCTGGGAATAAATCATCAAATGTTGCTATCAGTGAGTACACAAACTGCTAAAAATGCATGTAGTCCTTGATGGAGAACTGCATTTTATGAAATTCAGTGTGTTTCTTCTGCAGAACAACGGAGTGATACTAAATGTATCATGTAAGAAATGATTTGGTCTGTATGTGAAAAATATAGAAAAGCTCACAAAAATTTCAGACAGGACATTTGAGAAAAAATAAATCTTGGACAGTCTACCCCTTTGATTTTTCATATCCATGGGACCTAGCTGTGGGTGTTACCTAAAATCCCATCCATGGATCACTTTTGGTTTCCTAATTTGTTTTAGGCGATTTTTAACAAAGATTCATTTTTATTCTTTCGCAGGATTTTTCCTTTGTAAGTATGTGTTCCAGTTAATTGTTCCATGGGAATGAGCTAGCAAAGATCAGATTAGCTAGTCTGGAAGACATTCTGAAACAATTATGAAATAGATGCTGAAATACAATTGTTTTTGTTTTTGTTTTGCGATACGCGGGCCTCTCACTGCTGTGGCCTCTCCCGTTGCGGAGCACAGGCTCCGGACGCACAGGCTCAGCGGCCATGGCTCACGGGCCCAGCCGCTCCGTGGCATGTGGGATCTTCCCGGACCGGGGAACGAACCTGTGTCCCCTGCATCGGCAGGCGGACTCTCAACCACTGAGCCACCAGGGAAGCCCTGAAATATAATTGTCACCATAATAACACTGATGACTACGTAGCAATGTAGAAAGATGCTTATGAGTTAAAATTCAAAATGATGTATTTAAGATTATAACTATGTAAAATCATATACTATGAAGACAACTGTGACTAACTGTACCGTAGTGAGCAAGGCTCACTAACTAGGTAGCATCTAAGTATCACTGACTGCTAGGAGGAGGGGAGCCATCTACGAGGTGTGAGTTACCCCACACGAGGCCCACCAGACATGGCTTCTTCTCCAACTCACAGGAGATTAATATGCCACATGCCATAAACCGTTAAGCCATCCTTTGATAATTTGCTTATTGTTTAGTGCAGACCCTCCCCAAAGTCGAAAATTTGTGTATGACTTACAGTTCGTCCTCTGTATATGCGGTTCCTCCGTACCTGTGGTTCGCATCCACGCATTAAACCAAGTAGCAGAGCAGATCGTGCAGTGCTGCAGTATTTATCATTGACAAAAGCCTGCATATAAATGGACCCACACAGTTCAAACCCACGTTGTTCAAGGGCCAACGGAATTGAAATAATAGTTGTTCTCTATTTCATATCTTGCTATAAGTTTTATTGTTTTCACAGCTTAAGCTATCAATATATAAAATTAAAAATAGATTCTCTCCTTACATTCTTTGATGTCCCTCAAAGAGGTTCACACATTCCCAAAGACATCTCAAGTGAACATTACTATTTCACTTGGGCTAATGACAAACTCTGTGCCTGTTTCCTCATCTGTAAAATAGGCATGCTCTGAGCTTTGCCCACATCACAAGGTGGCTGGAGGAGGGAAGCAGCATGCATAGCAGGGTGAAAAAACCATAGCATTTAGAGCCATGTAGTCATGAGTCCTAATTCTGGCTCTGAAACTTACTATCTCTGTGACCTCTGGCAAGTTATTAAACTTCTCAAAGCCTCAACGTGAAGTGGGCAATTTCCACCTTATAGGGTATATGCATGCACGACGTCTAAAACACTGCCCAACGTGCAATAGACGCTCAAGAAATGCTATTAAAGCAGTGCTTTGTAAACCACAAAACATATTATGTAAATGCAATGTGTTCATTATGATAATAGAAAGAAAAGGGGAGAAAAAATATATGAACAGAACTGGCCACAGAAGCACAGTACTAGGAATGTGAAAAACACAAGATGTGCTTGGAGAAGGGGTAACATGATATGGCTGAAAGACGGCATTCCTGATTTCTGTTCTCAAGAATATGAAAAGCCATTGAAGGCATTTTGAGAAAAATCTAACACGGCACTATCCATGCTTTAGGAACATAACTATTTGGAAATGTGGAAGATGATGTGCAGGAAGGAAAGCCAGAGGTAGGATATCAACTTGGTTAGGAGGCAAGAGGGCATGAAATTGGGCTGGAGCAATGGGAACGAGGCAGAGGGAGGGATCTGGAGGCATGGAGAAGAGCTAGGAGGCTGTTACAAGAGTCTGGGAGAAATAAGGGGGAAAACCTGCATAGTAAGGGTGCAAAGGAATGGAGGGGGCAAAGAAACATTTAGATGACCTTCATGAGTAAAGAGAGGAGAAGGGAGATTCAATATGGCTTCAAGGGTCTGACAGGGGAACTAGGAGAATGTTAATTCCGCTGTTCAAGAAAAAGGGAAGATGACGAGTTCAGTTCTGGACAAGACGGATTCAAGGCATTTAAAGAGATGTCCGCTAGACAGACCCCAGGAGAGAGACCTGGGCTTCTTATGTAGACTTGGGAGTGATCACCATAGAGATGAGAAGTAAAACTAAGAGGACCTGATGAGAATCAAATGGAGTTTAGGACGTACAAAATAAATGGTAGGAAAGAGCCTGAATAAATGTAAACACACTTACACAGGACTATTAAGAGGACAAAGGTTGCCTAAATGAAGTCTCCACCAGCAATGGACGCAAAAAACATAATATGGTACGAAAATGAGAGCAATAATATCTATAAAAATCTTATTAACTTACTAAATTTATCATTTTTATATTAACTCACAGAAATAAAAGTTAATAGGGCTTCCCTGGTGGCGCAGTGGTTGAGAGTCCGCCTGCCGATGCAGGGGACGCGGGTTCGTGACCCGGTCCGGGAAGATCCCACATGCCGCGGAGCGGCTGGGCCCGTGAGCCATGGCCGCTGATCCTGTGCGTCTGGAGCCTGTGCTCCGCAACAGGAGAGGCCACAACAGTGAGAGGCCCGCGTACCGCAAAAAAAAAAAA